AGCGAGAGCCATAAAATTGTTACTCTTGGACCTAGTAATCTTACTCCTAGAAATTTATTCTAAGGAAATAATTTGAAAGAAGAAAACCAAATACATTATCTCTAATACCAAACACATGTAAATAATCCAAATGAGCAAGAAGAGAGAAGAGGCAGCAATGGAGAGGATAGGTTGAGGCAGGCAAGAGTGGAAGCAGGCAGATCTCTTTTAGGAAGCTACGTCAATACCTGAACAATATCTAGGGCATATAACTGGCATTTCTTGGTGAATCACATGCTATAGGAAATACAGAAGGGAAGGTTTGTGAGATGAAAGGTGGGATATATTAAGTTTGGCTCAGAACATGTGAGTTTGAGGTGTGTGTGATGTATTCAAGAGGAGAGAGCTAATAGATATTTAGATACCGGGCCTATAGTTCAGGGAAAGGGTCAGGGCTGGAGATGGTGGTTTCAGAAGCACCAACATACATATGGGAGTTAAAAGAATGAGAGAAAAAAATGTTGCCAAGACAGAACATACAGAGTGGAAAGGGCAATGGGCCAAGCACAGAACAATGGAACTCCAGTGTTTAAAAGGAGGATTATGGTGGAGGATCCCATGAAGGAATCTAAGACTGCAAGACTAGAGAGTGAGAAGAACCAGGAAATATGGGTTTTATAAAGGTCAGCTAGTGGTTGTGATAAAGTGGAGGTTATCAACAGTTTAAAGTGCAGAAGAGAGGGTCAGGAAGGGGAGGTTTGGAAAGTGTCGCTGAAGGTCAGCTATGGAGTGGCTGGAATGACCACAGATGCTACTCTCAAGAAACCTGGCTCAGAGGGGAGAAGGGAGGAAGAGGAGAGTAGCTAGAAGGGGGAAGAGGGCAGAGAACAGGGAGACTAGAGCATGGTTTATAGGCTGAGGGAATCAGCCAGTATTGTTAAAGAATATGGGCTGTAGGAAAAAGGAGATAATAAAAGGAACCACAACTGGCAGAGCTCTGAGGTGATGGTATCTGGAATATAAATGGAGCACCTGCCCTCAAACAGAAGGAGGCACACGTCATCCTTTGAAACCAAAGAGAAGGTAAGATTACGGGTAGATTCAGAAACGTAGTAGTCACTCCTGAGATCTCCATGAACTGCAAGGTGAAGGAAAGTGCTTGAAATAAGGGAAGGGATTGGTGAGGGAGCATGGAGAATATGGTGAATGTTTAGAATCGCCTGAGGGTAACAGGAAAAGTAGTGGACTGAAGACAAGTAGTAAGGATTGCCAAGTAGCAGACAGGACTACATATTTGTGGTGGCAGCGATTCATATGGGTGGGCTGTTCTCCTCCATAGTACCTTGAAGCTTCTATTTAGGTGGAGATGTTGGATGGGAGAGCTAGTCTAGGGTTAGGATTTTACCAGAAAGGTTTGGTGGAAGGATAGCAATATAAAGCACTTGAAGATGCTGGTGAAGATGCTACCAGGAATGAAGTTCTTCAACTTCCCTCCCACCTGCAAATTTGAGAAAGCAGCCAGAAAAAGGCTCAAAAACTTGGAGAAATCTGTACATACCAGAGAATGGAGATATCAGTGGGGTTTCAAGCAAGTGGCATGGGAGTAAGAACAGGAGAGAGCTAGAAGAGTAATTCCACTAAGATAGTAGAGTATAAAATAGCAGCAGAGCAGTTCTGTAGGAGAATGCTAAGGTGTGGTCAGTACTGTGGAGCTGAAATGGAGTACAGCTGAGAGCTGAAATGGAGTACAGCTGAGAGTTACTATAGATAAGGCCCAGAAACTATGTGGCTAGGGAGTCAGATGAATCTTTCATGTTGGCAGTGAGGTTATCCAAGAAGATATCAGGACCTGGAAGCAAGAAGACGACTGTGATCTAGAAGCCAAATCACTGATGATGTGGTGAAGGGTGGGGAGGCAGGGACAAAGTGGTAAAGCTATGATAAGAACCTTAACAGAAAGGTACCATCCCATCTCCAACTGGGTAGAGGAGGAGTGATGATTAGGAAGCAGGATTAAGGATCAGAGAAAATAACAACCAAGCTGCCCAATGGATGATATGTGAGGCATGGGAGAGTCAAGAGTCTCCACTCCATGGAGATGCAGAGGAAATAGTATTCTTGAGGATAGGTGTGCTTTTAAGTCACTTGTACCAGATTATAAAAACTTCAGGGGGAATTCGTATATTTTGCCTCCCTCAAAGCATCTGCTACAGTGCCTTGTACTGAGTAAGAACTCAATAAATATCTGATGAATAAACATATTTTCCAGTTGTGTTTTCTAATGAAAGCAAATAGCTCACAAATTTAGACTAACTGGGGAAAAAGGCCCATTTGAATTAGCAGGAAGCCTTAATACAATATATTTAAAGGAACAAGGTTTTATTACATTCAAATGCCCACAATAACATTTACTAATCAGAGAATTGCCAAAAGGTTCTTGAAGTCCTGCTTTAATGAATAGACAAAAAAATATTTGTATTTAGTACTCCATTAGTTTACATAAAAATGTGTACTACAAAATGACTGAATCCACTTGTCTTATCAGGTGAACATCGCACCCCTTGCAATATTTTTCACACAATTTCCATAGCAACCCCTTTTCTTAGATTGTGAAATGTCTGTGACCAAATTACCACACATCAGAAATTAGTAGCTCCAAATTAAAGAAGTAGATTTAGATTGTGCCAACATCAAAACGACTCTCAGCACCCATGTGTGTCAAAGACTAAGTTTAGGAGACGTGAAGGGAAGGCTGTGGAATGTTCTCCCTCACTCCCTGAGGGCCTTCAGATCAGACTTTTCTATCTAACCTTGACCTCAAGTATTCTGTCACTCACTAAAACACCTGCTATTTCTGGGGTTTTTTTTGCTCTTTTCAGTAAAAATGTATCTGGTTTCAGTAAAAAGAAGTCAGGAAAATCTCTGTCTCCTAGGTCTGTGTCTGAGACCTCTAAAGGCACAGCAATAGGCTTCTTGAAGAATACCTACATAAATAAACATTTCCACTAGGCACATTACTGACATTCTATTTCATGGATTACATTCAAACTTAAAAGAGACTTTTAACTAGAATTTACCTACTGAAGACAAAATCCCATTCTCTCCATTACATGAGCACATGAGGCCTTAGAACAAAGCCAAAATATTGTCATTGTAATGCTCTGAAAACACTCAATATGCTATGTGAATAGAGGTATCGAGTAAGCAGAATATATTTTTGCTATCTCAATCTATAGTTAAAGGTCCAAGCTATTATCCTGGTAACAGTTCCATTAGGTGTAATGATGTGAAAAGAGGTATTGCATTAATGCACTGGGTTCCCACTATGTTAATAGTGGGCCATTAAGAATCATAGTAGAACAATTTGCGATCATCCTTAGAATGCAACAGGCCCTAAAAAGAAATTTCCCTTCTTCCCTATTTTAAGATATTAAGAAGAAGTGAAGGCTAATTTTAAATGAGTCCAAATAATCTGAACAAGCGGAATAAGGCTAACAATTAAACGAATAAAAGTTAAAGCATCTACTCTGCTTAATATAATTTGAGATCCCAAGGCACAAAGAGTATGTTAAATCACTAGTGAAATGACAAGTGTTCAGTTTGATCTGTACATGAACGACTTTTCCCAGATGCTTGCATT